TGGGTGGCTGGTTCCCGGCGGGGTGGGTGCCGCAGAGGCTACGAGTGCCGTTGGCTGGTCTCATGGACGACAAGCGCATTCTTGAGCGGGGCTGCGTCTTGCTCACTTTCCTGCCCGACGCCAACCATCTTCGTACGGCGGCTTGTCCCCATTTTTCACTCCTTTGGAAGGCCGCGAGCTGACACCGTGTAGTGTCATACACATGCCGAGTGCAGGCGGCTGAAGGCGACGAGATGGACGGAGGCGCAGAGGAGAGCGGGCGCTACACATATGCGCTGCAGCGGTGGCTCTTCGTCGGCAAGGGGGTGCCGCTTCGACTGGTGGGCCCACTCCAGCTTGTTGTTTGTGATGAAGCGCCTTGTAGCGTTGACTGACCCATGATGTGACACAACGCCAGGTCGAAGAGCAGCCATTGTTCGCGGCCAGGAATGAAGACGGCAGTCCGGCGGTGGCTGGGTTCTTGCGCCTGAGCTTCACCCTCACGCCATACAACGTCATGAGTACGTACTACAGCAGCAAGCTGTCCACCCTACAGGTTCTTCCACCTCTTATCCCGCTTCTTCGTTCCTCCAGTTGTGCACGGATACGACGCAGGCGACAAGCAGCTGACGACGCCTCACGCAAACTACGTCAGCATCGTGCCGTGTTTTGGGGGTTCGCCTCTCCCCTTGTGTGCTGTGTGGCTGAGTTGCATTTCTCGTGCAGCTGATGAACGTTGTCCGCTCGTGAAGACAGTGACCCGTGGACAGACCGCGGTCGTTCGGTCCATCTCACGTACCAGGTGCATGCTTCAACGTGCAAGTATCGGCCCCACCTCTCGTTTCTTCCGCCCAAGTACCTGTTGCTCAACACAGGTATGATTAACCCGTGATCAGCAACGCGCGAGCGCGTCGTGCCAATCGATTGCCTAAAGTGAGTCACGTGCAGGGTGCGCTATACGCATCATCGAGTGGGAGCTGAGCCGTGCGAGCACACATGAGATGCCATCAGGCACGATCGTGCGAATACGACGCCAGATGGCTTTCGATGCCGAAGCATACATAGGGCGAATGCTTCGCACAAACCCCGTACTTCGGTACTCGCATCAGCCACCCGTTGTCTGAACTAAACACGCACCTGAAGCCGGCTGACATTGCACTGAATCTCACCTCCCCTCCCCCCACCACAGGACGTGCATGCTCGTAGATTACGAAGTCGAGGTAGCGCGCTTGTTGGTGGAAAACGAGCGAGCGCTCGTGCTCGTGTGTGCGTTGTTTGCGGCCAAGCAGGATCCGCGCGTCCTGCACTCGTTCGTCTTCACCTTCTTCCTTAACTGCGCGTCTGGCGGCATGCAGCTGCTTAGCCTCCGACCAGCGCCCTGCGATCAGCTTGCCACCGTGTACGGATTCCATGAAGACCCCCTTACGTGTTTTCCAACTCCCGCACTGACTTGCCAACCAACGCACACGACACAACGCACACGTACACAGTGACGGAGGTGCATTCGTACGACGAACCGTGCAGAGCTTGGCGCAATCGCTGCAGCAGCAGTGGGACAGTCTGCCCATCGGGCCGGGGGCGCTATGCCACACGTGGACCAACGACACCGTACTCTCCGGCAAGTCCCTCAGCGCCATCCCACACCACTTCTACCCGCTCGCCCTGTGCCTCTTGAAAAACAAATAAAAATAAAATGTAAAATAAAGATAAAAAGGAAACTCTTTTATTTCATTATTTATTTTCTTTTTCGGAGGCCAGAGATGCAACGCTGCCGGGCTTTGGCGACCGGTGGCGTGGCGAGGCGTACGGGTGCGTTGAGGTTGGGATGTTCAGGAGGACGTGGGGAGCGGCGAGGGGGAGCACTCAGGCAGCGCGCCATCTCCGCCTGTCACCGCCATCACTTCGCCTCTGCATCTGCCGCACTCCCGGAGAGGGAAATCGGCCTGGCACCAGCAGAGGCGACAACAAAAGAGGAGAAACAAAAGAGTCCCTACAGCCGCAAGGTACCTCTCCGTAGACTACTTGCATCTTCCATTTGATTTATTTATTTATTTATTTATTGAACTATTGAGAAATAGGCCTGCGTTGGCTCCCTGGACTCGGTTGTATACGACTACGTGGTGGATGTGGGCGTCAAGGAGTCGCCCGTGCAACGCGCGTGTCGAGAGCACACGTCGGCAATGAGGTACGCAACTGCACGTAGTGCTGGAGCGGGGTTGGCAGCACGCTGATATGGCTATGGGCTTGTGACGAACTCTCCAGGGAGGGCCACCTGCAGATATCGCCTGACCAAGGCGCATTCCTTGGTTGGCTCGTTAGAGCGCTTGGAGTGCGCAAGGCCGTGGAGGTGGGCGTGTTCACCGGCTACTCGTCTCTGTGCATTGTAGAGTATGCGACCTCCTCCTCCTCTCTCTCTCTCTCTCTCTCTCTGCGAGCTTGATTCGCCCATCTCACTATCCACCACCAGAGCGATGAAAAGCGATGGTAGGTTGTATGCGTGCGAACTGAGCGAGGACTACGCGCGAACAGCGAGTGCGTACTGGCGCGAGGCCGGTGTGGACGACAGAGTTGACCTACGATTAGGGGCCGCCATAGAGGTAAGGCCGGATATAAGACCTTCGCTTTCTTTCACATCCCTCAATGATGTGCTGGTGCTTAGACTCGATCTCGTGACGGTGTGGTGGTAGAGCATGGAGCGTCTTCTGGCGGAACACGGGGCCTCGTTCGACTTTGCGTTCATCGACGCGGGTACTGCACTCATCAGCATCTCGTGGCGTTATGTTCATCGCTTACACGCGCCCAGACAAACGGAACTATGGGATCTATTACGAACTGGCGCTGAAGCTGCTACGACCCGGTGGCACAATCGTTATCGACAACACGCTCCTACACGGTATGACGTGCGTTGTTGTCCGGAACGTTCTCCTTTAACCGCTCTTCAAACTGACCGAGCACCACTCAGGCAAGGTCGCCGACCTGAGCGTGCGAGAGAAGCATGTCCAGGCGATTCGGCACTTAAACTCCAAGATGGCCGCCGACGACCGCGTCAATGTCTCCCTGCTCCCCGGTACTGTCCTCAACCCCTCTTATTACTCCTTTCGGCCGAAAGCTGAATCACAGGACAATGATTGGCTGTTACGAGGAATGCTTGGCATTCTTCTGGCCAAAGCCACACCTTTTCCTCTCCTCTCTTGCGCCCGTGGACAAAGAGTATAAATTGTCCAGTGAGAGAGTGGCAAAGGACATCTTCTCGGCCTACGTGGCTAAGATCAAGTGTAGTATCTGTTCTTATCAGCTTAATCTCTGGTAGTGAGGCCTCAATGTGCCTCACAACTCAAGATTAGACTTATTTCTTGTGGTGCGCCTGGTACCATGCCCTCCAGCTATGCTGTGACAGTCCAGGAGCAGCGATCAGCTTCACATTGCACACCCTTGTGAAGTTCTTCAAATGGTCCACCCTCCCTACAAAACCAAA